TTTTTTTTCATAGAAATTAGTTAAAACTTATCTTCAAAAGCAGAATAAATTGATAATCAATAAGGCTTCAATTGAATCAGTACAGAATAACAGATTTCTATTCATAGTACTATCAGGCCATCATTAACATAATGTTTCTAAAGACTACATAAGAGTATAATAAATGTTTGTAATATGATGATGATGCTAAATAGAAAAAATTTTATAAAATTTTAAATGCACTATAAGTACAATTATAAAACAGAGAGATAAGAACAGTTATTTCATTGACTTTCATTTCTTTATCTTGCCAAATTATTTTTTATTAATAGTTAAACAACAAATATTTTAACAAAAATAAACATCATTATACGTAAAAACATTGTTTATATTTTTCACCCTCTGTATGACCTTAATTGGGAATATAGTTGTTGCATATGTAAATAACCTTTATATTGAAGATTTTTATGATCAAGTATTACAATTAACAAACTAAGTTAAAATATATAGTAGGAATTTTTAATTGAAAAAAGTTGCCTTGCCTATCATTGCTGAGTATAGTATTCAACAATGAAGACCTCAATAACAGTCTAATTTAAAAAAATATTTATTTTCAGACATAGACTGCATTCATATAATCAGAAATACTTACTGAAATAAAACATTTATTTTTTCTCTTGATATTTCTGAACGGTCATGATTTTTACAAGACAAGCCTTAAAAGTGGAGATAGGACTCTATATTCAAAGTATTATATGACAGTGATTGTCATAATATATTTTTATAACTACAGAATGAAAAAATTGACCTATATATCAATCTTCCCTCTGATATATATATCAATTATAAGATGATTCTTACTATTAGAAAATTGGTTTTATATTTGGTAGACACATTACAAATCACAATGCTTTACTCATCATAAGTAAATTTCTAAATGTTTATTAAATGAATGAATACATAACCTCAGAGGAAAGTACTGTGTACATACTGTCACACACACTGCTTTCTGATCCAAATAAAGATTAAGGATCCTTTACTTTGATCTGAGATTGTCTCTCCTAATGAATTTGAGATTATAAGTCATTATTTTAAAAAGGGAAACCCTCAGTGGATAATTAGCAGTAATCAAGAGAAGTTTAAACATGCATGAAGGTGAAGTTGCAGCTGAGAATTACTGTAGGAAATAAATCTCCTGAGACAGGGTGAGGGCACATATCCTGCAGTAGAGATGTTTTGAAAACCATTTCACTGGTGGATTTCTCTCAAGCCATTTCTCTTGGACCAGTTTCCTAAGGCAAATGCTTGGTATTTTTTTTTTTTTTCTAAAAAGAATGGTCTGTATACTTTGAGGAATCATTCTGCCATTGAGCCTGTTATGCTAACAGCTAATGAGTTTCTCACATTTGAGTTTTTAAATGTCTCAGTGGAATCAGTCATTGCAGTTGTTCCTACTTCTTTCTCTTCTTACCCAAATAGGCACAGTCCATGAAGCAATACCAATAATAATTTCACATAGGTAAGTAATTCAATCACTTTAGTTGGATTTTAAGAAACATAATCTTCCACAGTTTTGCAAAACCAAGAGGACCACCTTACAAAAGATTCTGTTTATACAGTGAAGCCAAATCATCACCTGTTTCAAATGGTCCAGATTTTGTTGATCTATACAGAAATTTAGAGGTATTAACAGAATTATCCAGGGAGTTTAAGCCAATTAGAGTCTGTTCCTAGTCTCTGCACTGTAGGCAAATCTTCTAAGTTCCTTAAATACAAAATGAAGGCACAAAGTGCTTAAGGGGAAGAAATTCAATAGAGAGAGACAACAATGCTAATACCAATAGATGTTTAAACTTGTTAATGAGACTAAAAAGCTTTCCTTGGCAATGAATCATAGTTTGCCCCTTGTGAGTGATAGGACACCTAATTAAAAAATGACTTCTGACCAGGAGTGGTAGTGCATGCCTGTAATCCTAGCTAATTGGGAGGCTGAGGAAGAGGATCAAGTTCAAGACCAATCTGGGCAATTTAATGAGACTCTGTCCCAAAATACAATTTTTAAAAAGACTGGGGAGGTAGCTCAGTGGTAAAACTTTGTCTTATATGTTTGAGGCCCTAAATTCAATCCCTCAGTACTGCAACAAAAAGAAAAAGGAGATGACTTCCACCTAGAATATGATTTGTTAGAAATCTATAAAAATCTAACAGTAAAAGAGGCCTACAACTCCTCCAAGATTTGTTTATGTATCTATTTTTAGGAGTAAAAATAAAAATCTCTAGAATTTGGATCAAAGGTTTTAGTCATTTTTAATCAAGCCATTTTCAGTTTCTAAATAATAATAAATTATTTAATTATAAATAAATTAAGGAAAATGGGCTCATTCATTTAGGTTTAGTATGAATTAATCAGAAAAATTAAAACAAATCTGTCCTAGAAATTTGGTAAAACAGTTTCCTGTGTGTTTTTACAAACACACACATGCATTAAATACACATATGCACACACATACAAACACATGTATACACATATACAAAGAGGTGATGGATACATTGATCAACTTGATTTTGGTAATCATTTCATAATGTACACATAAATCATATCACATTATATAACCTAAGACTATATAATTTTTAGTTTTTAGTTGTACTTCAATAAAACTGGGGAAAATTATATATATGATCCCCAAATATGATCTGTCAAATCTATGAGTCAAATAAAACACCCAGAGAAGCACCTGGAGGTAAGTAGTCATTTTACTTTCTTTTGTTGTTCCTTAACCATAAATAAATTCTCTTTTAACAAAATGTTATTGTTTTTATTTTAAAAAAAGACATTTATTGAATTTTTCCAGGCTAGGTGTAATTTAATGATATGCTAACCCAGCAAGAGCATTTTGCTTATGAAAGATTAAAAACTTTACTTGCTTAGGTAAAATAAATTTAGATAATATATGTGGAATAATTAGTATCTTTAAATACGACCATATATGAAATGGATTAAAGTATATTTCCAATTATTAATTCAACCACTTTTATGGCTCATTATAATTTAAAAAGTCTGAAAATACTGTCACCAATTAAATCTCAAAAATTAGCATTTTACAGATGTGGTAACTAAGGTAGAAAGACAGGTCTGACAAAGATCACTTGCTTGGGAAGAATTGAGTCCAGAGCAGAAACCAAGGATTCTGGCCTTTCACTCATGTGTTTTATGTTGACTGATTCTCTTTTGTTACCTGAACTGTAGTTACACCTTCCTTCCCTTCCTTCCAATTGTTTGAGTCTGGATTTCAGTATATTAGTTTTCCTACTACCTTTAGTGTGTGCAGGTGAATTCATGAATGGAGAGAATCTTGACATGTACACACTGTTATCTTTATAAGGTCAATAGACACTGAGAAGGAGATGACTAATTCACAGTTGCTTTTCCATTACTTATCAATTGTAAGCCTGTGATGGCCTCAACTTTTTGCAGTAAATATGGGCTATACAAAAACTGTCACTAGATAATATATTTGAAGTTCAACAGGGAAATAGAAATAGTCCAAAGTATCGAGAATATATTAGTGTAAAATACTTCTGACTTTTTCTAGCAATTCTAAGACTAGTAACTCAAGTAGATTTCAATGGATATTTAAGATTAATACCAGTTATTGTATATATAAACACACATATACATATTTTCTAAGGAAAAATAAAAACAAGCTGAAATAAATGATGACATAAATATGAAGTTTTTTTAACATAGAAAAATAAATAATTTTTTAGGAATAAAGTTCAACAATAACAAAATACATTTTTATATATTATGAGATTGAAAAGATACTTTTCATGGTCCCTCTGCCATCTCAGCAGTATCTGTTCTAGTACTAGAAGCAAAAGTGTACATTGAACATGAATTTGCATTTAAATGTACTAAAGGATCATAAATTGTCAGAAGAATTGATATTAAGTATCCATAGTATATGTAATCCCAAAGACTCTGTGGGATGTGGTATTAAAACTGGCCTATGTGATTTCCTGGGCAGGTTCTCATAGGGGCACTGTGAGCATTTGACCTCAGGATGTAAGTCTCTGTCCCTCCAAAACTCAGAGAAAACCAAAAAAAAAAAAAAAAAAACTATATAGAGAAGAAATTGTAAATATATTCATATAACTTTTGAAATATAATTTTATGGGGTCAACATGTAGTATAGTCCCTATCATTTTTGCTCTAGGCCAAATGTTTTATCTTCATGGATTCTCAAAGCAAGAAAAAAAAATACTTTGATTTTTAGGTTCCTATAAAACCAACTAATCATATTCTGCCCATGAACTATCTATTTAACACTCACTGTTTTGAATTTAAAGTGTCCTTTTTAAGTGTCCTGAATGATAATGAAATAAGAATTTACACTGGAAGAAACTGGGTAGGATTATGATATTGTTTTTTGTTTGTTTGTTTAATTAGCCCAAAACTTCTGCAGAAAAAAATGCAATCTCAAATTACTTCAAATGTTTGTCAAACATTAAAGTTTTGGATTAAAGAAAACTATCCTTGGAGAAGAATTGTATTTTTAAACAAAATGATAATTGATAGGTTATTTATCATCTCATATCAATTCCAAATTAGTAACATCAAAGTTCAATGTGAAGTGATAATAATTGCAGCCTTGTAAATACCTCTAGCTTTATTACATTTTATGCAGTTGAATGCAACCACCATTTGTTCAGAAAATATTGTCTATAGAACAAATTACATATTTATATTCAATCATTTATACTTTATTTTAAACTAACCTTGTACCTTGTTTAGATGATCTTCATCACAAAATTAAGGTTTTATGTTTAAAGAGAGATATACTAAATAAGCATATTGTATAATAATTATCTTGAATAGTTTGCTTCATTTTATTCTCAAGTAATTAGATTCTTACTATCAGAGTGTTGGACTTTGTTGAGTCCATCAAAATATTTGATCTTATTTCTATTCAAAATCAATATTTATCAAGATAAAGGCAAAAGAAAATAGTATCACTTACTTTGCTTTTGCTTCTGCATCCTCATATGCTTTATTAGAAACATCGTCCAGCCCTCCAATCAAATGCTTGAAAGAGCTGTAAGAGGAAAAACACAGTAATTAGGACAAATACGAAGTAGTAAGGACAGAAACCTAGTCAATCACTTAAGGTGAAACAATTAAGGGCATCTAAAGAAAAATAAATTCAAACACTTAACCTAATGCATCATTAATAAACATACCAGAGAGCAGATTTTTTCCCCTGACTCTGATATAAACTTTATGAGATCAGAGACCTTTCCTACTTGATTCACCTCCATAGTCCCCAATACTTAACTGTATCTGGCTATATGTCTGGTAAAGACAGATATTCAAATAACTGAGTAGGTTAAAATATACGATACATTAATTTATATGCATCACAAAGTTAATGAGTCTTTTCATTATAATACTAAAACAACAACAAGATCTACCAACCACGGAGTGCTTACATATGTCAGGTATTATAATTATCATTCACATTTATTAATTCAGTTCTCAAGCTATAAAAGACAAGCATCATTATCTATACTTAAAATTAGTAAGCTAATCTTCAAAGGCAAAAAAATGTGTAGCTGATGGGAAAACAAACAGCAGGAGAGAATTATAGAAAAATCAACTCCTTTGAAAGCATGAAAAAAAATCACTTTAGTGTAAAGCAGGTGGTTTACTTTACTCAGTCTGTCAATATCCTACTATGTACCTAGAAATGTATTCAGACTTACTTTCTACAGAGAAGTCTCATCTATTATATATTTATAATATAACACTATAAAATAATGCAATGTAAACATACACACATATTATAATTGTCCTCAAAAAGCAAACAACAAGATACAGTAACTCTTAGGCAAACAAGATTTTGGTAATGACTAGAACTTTCCTTTTGTGGATGAAGAAACAAAAAATAGAGACTATACACAGAAATCTGGGACTTCACATGACAGTCAGAGCCCCACATACCAGGCACTGTCCAGTGTGCTTCATATGTAGTAACTAATAGTGTACAAGGACCCACTGAGTTAGGATTATTTATCTCTATTTTACTTTCATTTATCCCCATATTGTAAAGGAGGATATTAAAGTACAACAGGTTGAGAAACTAGCTGAGAGTCACACAGCCAGAAAATGGGAAGATTAAATGGCAGAAGGTGATCATTCGCCTTCCTACTATTCAAACTTACATTGCACTATCCAAATCACTATGCTTGGAAGCTAATTGTGAAATTTCTAACAATATCTGGGCTCTGGGTGGAGAGTTTTGAAGTGGTTTAAGAATCTCATTTTGATTTTAAATCTCTACTTTTTTTTTCATTGCTGGGGATCAAACCCAGGGCCTCTTGGTTGTTAGGCGAGTGCTCTACCACTGAGCTGCATCCTAGCCCTTGAATAATCTAAAATATGTAAATGACTTTGTGTGTTGTAATCATTAAACATTAAGTTATGCATTGTCAGGTCCTGAAATATCTTAGAAGATTTATTGACTTAAATTTAAAAGTTACTTAATTACTTTCATATATAAGTTGGTTGGAAAAACTGCAAAGTAGAACATGACACTGTGCCTGGGAGCTGGCTTCAAGGGGATGGAATAGCTATTATCTCAGACCCTTGGGTAATGATCTCATCTGGGAGGCAGAGTAATTAGAAAGTTATACTAAATACAATATCTCTATACAAGAGAAAATTATAGACAAAGACCTATGGAATCAAGAATCTTATTCAAAAATATGAAGTCTTCTGTAATCAACTGCATTAATTCATACTGAGTGAATGTTGAATGGTTAAAGGCAGTAGTTCTTACAAAATTTTTTAAAATGATATCAATAATAAAATGATTAATAAAATCCTCATGGTTGAGGAAAATTTTTAAATATGACTTGTGCCATTATTCTTTTTTTATATGATAAATTTTCTCAAGTTACCATAGAATGCTTTGTTCTTTGCTAAAACTTGGGAAAAGGCTGATTTTCAAGAAACCCTTTAGGGTTAGATGAGTTTATAATATAAAGTTTAAAATTAATTTTGCCATGAAAATAGATAATATTTGGCTAATTTTCTGTTTTCATTGATAAAAAACAATTTAATCCTAGAGTTAAATTACTTGTCCAAGACGACTATAATTTATCAGGATTCTAATCAGTATTCCATATTACCCATTCCCGTCCTTTATAATACCAAATCCAAAACATTGTAAGAACATTCTGACAAAGGAGTCAAAGAAAAATTTGAAAGAAAACCAAAGAATAATGACCATTAAAACTTGGCTTGTCCATTATGTACATTAAGAGAGCATGATCTTGGATAATTAAGCTCATAGTAATTCTGAGAACTCATTTTTTAAAAAAATTTTGTCTTCCTCCTTGTCTTTATTTGAGATGAAGATGTTTTAATCAGGATATTACATTACCAAAGAATTAATGAGTAATCTAATAAAAATATCTTCATTCTTGTTAAATGTATTAACATAAGAAATTCTGTTCTGTTCATTACACTAGATTAAAACTCCTCAGATTGCTTTTTGAAAATCTAGTTTGAAATCCTATCAGCAAAGTTAAAAGGAGAAAAGCATTTATATGGCAGTTCTGTAGTGAGCTGAAAAAGTAGAAAGCATCTAATTATACTAATGATTTGTAAAATAGTTTATCCATTTTTTAAAATTAGTAATATTCAATGACAAATATCACATTTAAAAAGAATGAAAAAAATGAGTATCTGAAGTATGATTTTTTTGTTTTCTTAAATGTCCTTAATTTAAACCATTAATTTTTACATAGTTATCTTAATCCAAAATTTATTATTTTTACTACTAGACAAAAAAAGATATGTGTCCAAAAAAGCCTTGTGTCATTTGTGAAATAAATTCCCTCTTTCATTTAAAATATAATAGATATTTTTTGTGCTATGGGAAATATAAAAAAACTGAAAGAAGAAATTAAAAGATTACACATAGTTATCTAATTACAAATAACAAGGGGGAACTTTTTTTTCTTTTATTTTTTGACTTCTTTCTATGCATAGATTAGCTGTAATTAGAAAGTAGTTATGACTCAATCTCCTAATTCTTAACTTAATATTATAGCATAAGTATTTAGTTTTTAAAACTCCTTAAGTAATATTTGAGCAGATGACTAATAGGCCACTGTATGTACATGTATCAGAATACCCACTGATGCATGTATACCCACTTATACATCTACTAACACATACACTCACATACACACATGTATTCAGATGAAGGAGGGGGTATGGTATGGTAACTATATATACAACCACAAATATTTGTATTCTAGATTATAGATTATACATATGGAATTTCTTTTGAAAACAAATGTAACCTGGACTATAATTTTGGCTTTTGATATTAGAACCGTGTCTTTTGTAAATGATTTTTATTTAGGAGACCATTCCAACCAAAATAATATAATATTTTTTGAAATATTAAAATATGATTCCTGGATAATAGTCTAAATCTATCCAAACAATAAATCAAACATTATACAGTGTAGAATTTTCAAGCAACATTACTAAATTCCAAATGAAAGCCATTGTCTATACTGGTCAATGAGTAATTTAAGACATCTTGATAAGCATAATTGATGATGTTACAGAATTTATCCTTCTTGCCACAGATATGAAGAAATTACCAGCATTTTTCCCTTTCACAGATGTTCTGTAGAAACACCTGCCATCTGTATGGACTCTCATTGTACAGATATTTATAAGAGAATTGCTCTAGTTATCAGATTCCTTTCTAATTATTTACTTAGGTCCTGTGATTTTTTTTTTTTTTTTGGTACTGGGGATTGAATCCAGGTGTGCTTAACCACTGAGCAACATACCCATCTCTTTTTATTATTTATTTTGAGTCAGGGTCTCTCTAAGTTGCTTAGGGCATCACTAAGTTACTAAGGCTGGCCTTGAACTTATGATCCTCGTTCCTTAGGTTCCTGAGTTGTTGGGATTACAGGTTTGTATCATCATGCCAGACTTCATTATGACATTTCTTGACTAATAAATGGAGAAGACTTTTGTTGTCATTGCTGTATTCTGAAAGAGATTATAAGATGTTTTGACAACCTTATGAACTGAATGAGTGGACCACAAAATGTTATTTACCCATTATAACAGATCTAGGTTACTACAAGTAAATCATCCATCATGTTCAGCTTTTAAATTCACAGACATTATACAATTTATATTTTAAGCCTTATGAAATAAAATAGTCAAATTCATAAATACTCTGGACTTAATTTCATAAAAAAGTTAAGGAGACATGATGAAGTGAAATATTTTAATTTAGGGAATCTCAAAGTTTGTATCTCAATGAAAGCAAACTTTCATATGTACCTACTATTGCTTGTGGGGACTGTCTCCTGTTTATTTTCTTAAGGTGGGAAATCTAGTTTCAACAAGTCTCAACAGAATTATTTAAGGCAATGGATAAAATATTATCAGAAGTCCCTTTTATGTTTAATGTCAGTAGTTTAAATAAACTTGCAAGGTGGGGAGGGAAAGGAAAGAATGAAGGGAAGAAAGAGGGAGAAAAGGATAAAGGAAAGAAAGTAGGATGAATAAAGGAAGGAAGAAAAGAAGGAAGAAAGGAAGGAAGAGAGAGGGGGAGGGAGAAGAAATGAGGACACTTTCACATCAAGAATGATGACTTTTATAGAAATATTCCTTCAGGAATATCAGTTAAAAGGCTTCTTTTCATTCTAGGAAATCTGTTTTAGAACATTATAGTGGCAGTAGCTCAGTGGGTAATAATTTCAGTTATTAAGATGTTTTCATTATTAAGCCAAAACATCCATCTGAAGGGAGCTGATTACTCAGTGGTATGTCTAAAACGTGTATAATTTTGTTCTTCAGCAGTTGTGATATGATAAGACTTCATCTAGAGAGAAATGGGCTTTTAAATTACTAGAAAGGCAGTGTAAATAAAATGAGAGCATTTATATTTTACTTTTCGCTTACAAAGCACTTTTTATATTCTTAAGCCACATATGCATTCATATATCTATATTCATAGTTGATTTAAATAGTTGATTTAATATTTATGCT